AACTGGTATGATTCATCGTCCTCAGAAAAGAAGGCTTGGTTGGCCGGAGCTGGAGTTGACCGGAGGGCGAAACCGCGAACCGTCGTGGGTGGTAAGCGGGCACTTGCCGCTATCCACTGCTCCGCTTCTGGTTTGGTAGTAGTCGAAATCCGGAAGAATTCAACGTCCGGTGGCCTGCGCCGCAGAAGTTGCCTCCGATGGTGGGCGCTTCAACGTATTCGGAGAGACACTTGTAATTAATTTTCAATTGAAAGTCATGTTTGAAATTATCTTTGATTGGAAGTGCAGGTTAAGTTTTGAAATGCACATTTTAGTTGCGGCCGGTTCACATTCGTGAGTCTCATCGTGGCAGACAACAATAGAACGGACCTCATGGGGCTGCACTCATCAGCTTACCGTGCGTGTTCATACCATAACATTCACTTGCAGCAGAGAGCAGTCATTATTTCGCTGGTGAGTTCGTGGTCATGGGCAGATCCTTTTGAGCCTTGTCTGCTTTACTTTAATGTCGATTCTCAGAGATCCATAATCTGATTTTCTTTTTCGTTTTCATTCATTTTTAAACGACTGTAAACTGTTGATGTTATTGTTGAATAATCCTGTCAGTTATGTTGAAAAAACTGGAGAAATATTTGAGTGAACTCCTTTATATTTACTGATCTGCTAGCAATTAGTGCTGTTCTCATTACCAGTGAGTGCTAGATACGGTTTCCTGTAAATATTGTTTCGCGTGTAAATAAGGAAGTCGAGCTCTTTGCTTCCTATGGTTTTTTTTTGTGAATGAAGTGTTCCTTATTGTCTTCGTTTCCACTGATTCTTTTATTCGCGGCTGCGGTGTGGGAGAGGAGGGACGGGAAGGGGGGCGGGGGGGGGTGAAGCATGACAGCTTTGTCATTTTTATCACGGACTCTTTCAAAGACAGCAGAGTACGCTCACTCACATTTGGAGGGTGTATGAGATATCAACCCCCCCCCCCCCCAGCTGTCGATGTGTCGTGGTCCCCCTGCCCAAACATGCCCAGGAATGGAGATACAGGACCGTGAAACACGCTAATTCCTCCATGCTCCGCCCTTACACCTTTTGCGGCGCAGATTCCCGTCCTTCATAACATCCGTCGTAAGCGCGCGTGTCGCGTGCGGCTCCTTGGCACTTTGCCAAGTCCTTTAACGATCGCGCTTTCATCGCAAGTCGTTCTGTTACGGTCCTCTTTCTCCGATCAAAATACAAGGTAAAGACGCACCATTTCCTGATGCCGGATAGCACTGGAGTGCCTGCAGAAGGTAAGAACGCGAAGATGATGACGAAGGGTCAGAATTGAAAGCAAACTTGTGCCACTTCTGCAACAGCCGCCTCGGGAGGGCCGCGTATTTGTCACGGAAACGAGTAGAAAAAGAACGGGGCATATTCGGGGTTAGGATTGTGTACAGCAAAGACGGAATTTGGCTTTGATGGCGAGAGTGGAGAATTTGAGGGTCAGTTTCTCAGTTCAAAATCCATGGGTACAAGGAGAATGAGAGATGACTAGGCCTAGGAAAGAATCACAACGATGGTAAATGTTAAATGAAACAAAAGATGAAAAAAAAATCTAAGGATAGGCAAACTTAGTTGAAAATCGCATGTAAACTCCTACGATATACGCGCGAACTCGGCGCCAAAGCCGTAGAAATACTTAAAACAAAAGAGTGGGACGCTTGGGTTGTTTTTATTCTCATTTTTTGTGGGAATGCGCATCCTCTGATGGATACTGCAGGTGCAGCCGAGTTTCTCTTGAGTTCTGGCCCTTGTCACTCGTCTTCTGGGGGCGTAGCTGGTATTTCAGCACCTCCAATGTAATCCGCATCAGGAAATTGCGTTACTCGTATTTGAGAGCGCAATTAAAGGACTTGGCAAAGTGCCAAGGAGCCGCACGCGACACGCGCGCTTACGACGGATGTTATGAAGGACGGGAATCTGCGCCGCAAAAGGTGTAAGGCGGAGCATGGAGGAATTAGCGTGTTTCACGGTCCCTGTATCATCCAGTCCTGACATGGTTTGTGCGGAGCGAAGGACTACGAACACATCGACAGCTGGGCTGATAGTCTCAATACACCCTCAGTGTCTTTGAGCGTACCATGTGTCTTTATGTCCTGCTTTGGTCTTCCATCGAAATAGGTCATTAATCTTACAACAGAGCCCCTGTCCTCGGCCATCTTCCCAAATTCTCCCCACCGTAGTCTGTTGATGAAAGTATCTGTTGATGAAACCTCTACGAAGGGGTTTATATTCGGCTCGCGGAAGGAGGATGTATGTCCACTCCCCAGGAAACGGTCAACAGCCTCGCTCAGCCCGGCCATATTCAATGGAGGATGCCACATCATTGTACTTCATCTGTGACACGGGAACTCGGAAAACTATCTCAAAATTTGCGAGGCAACGATTCTCTAAGCGAGATTACGGAGGTTTTTTCGGTACCGTTTTTCTTGCTCTCCAGGGCGCCTGGCCGCCGACAGCGGTTATGGCACCTGTAGTGCGACTCGCCAGCGCCTCTTCGCGCAAAATAGGTGTCATATTTGTGTTCAGGGGGTCAAATAACCCCTAGAGACGTCATTTTAGCAAAATCTGAGCTTCTGACTCAACTTCGAAAAAACGGGGTATGGATAGTCATGGCCAACTGATAGCCAAAAGCCATACTGCGACCAGCACATTGAAGATGACTAGTCTTCCGTACTGACGGAATAACTCTTGAAGTCATGTCTTTTCGGCGAACACAGTGCTGGTGGAGCCTAGTTTGCTGCCGTTTTTCTGCGATGACCGTAGCGCGAATGTCAATCCCGGGGACCAGGTCAACATGGTAGGTGAGCTCGTAACTGCCGCTTATTACCCATGGAATAACTCACACTTTCCAACGTTAGGTCGAAATATCAGATTCGGCTAGGAACTTGTTCCCAGAGGTAATTTGACCCGCTGAACACGATTATCATGGTATTATATTGCAAAAACCCTTGCGACATGTACTAGCAGGGGGCAATGCACAAGCACTCTTCCAGCCACAATAGGTCTACACTTTCGAAAAAAACTGTCGCAGTTTCCTTACAGGATAGTGCAGGTGAGCAGAGGTGTTAGAAGCTTTGTTCCTGGACAATGCAAAACCAAACGCCCTGCCGAGAACCGATCCTACAGCGTCTCGCCTGCTAAACCAACTTCGCTATCCGCGCTCGCCGACCTCTAACTGCCACGTTTCAGTTGATCCTATGTACGCTTATTATAAGACACTTTCACGGGTGTTCGTCGCGGCGATAGCGATGAAGACCCAGGTCCACGCGGGACTAAAACCCCCCGGAGAGGCGCGGCGGGGTCGCAGAGAGTGCGGGTTCCGCAAATTCTGGAGGTAGATTCGAGTTCACCGTCCCAAGACTCGTACAACGGTGTGCACCTCATTGGAAATGGCTGGGCTGACCTGTTGACCTTTCCTGGTCAGAGGAGTCAGTAGTCAGCAAACTTGTAACAGGTGAGTGCAAGACAGAAAAAAAGTTGGAAGCGGAGCCGCGGTTTCTATTTTTGCCTCATTGGCAATAGTTTTGTGTGAACAAAGTTATGTTCTTTATAGTGGCGGCGACCTGCTCGCAGTAGCTGGTTTCCTCCTTGCCAGGAAAAATCCTCAGCGGCCAATTTTGTAAAAAATGGAGTTTTCATGAACGGTTTCTTCGGTGATTGCTTACAGAGAGAGAAGTCTTTTACTTTTCAGCGCTTTTTTGTTTAGACCTGGATTATGTATTACTCTAATTATGATTCCTGGAAGTTTGAAGACTCACGTGCTCAACTGATGTCCATCATAAATCATGGACAAAATCTTCCACAGTAAAATTTTTCGAATAAAGGGCTTTCACGAACTTACCATTAGTGGGGAAATTTTCTGGTATTAGTATTGCCCTAGGTCCTGTACTGTCGAAGTTATGGTCCCTGAAAGGAGAAAAATCGCGGCGCTCCAGTGGCAAATTTTCATTGCTTGATTCTTATGTGTAGCCGTGGGACCTTCTTCGAGACTAGTTCAGTACCAGATTTGCACGGATGGGCAGTACAATGGGTGGCTACCGCAAATCATTGCCTGTTCATTGTCTCCGCAAACTGAGGGTGGGGCGTGCTTTGGAGCACAGCGCCATGGCAGTCACTTCACAGTTGCTAATCCGCAACACCATAGCTGGAAAGAGCTTTCCTGCGGCAGTAGTCCCATTCGCACGCCTCTCCAGTGCGAGAATAACTTATTGGTAGATAAGTCACGTTCAAAATGCCACTGTGATCTGAGTCAAAGCAGATCGTAGTCCGCATAGAGACAAACTGTGCACTCGCCCCCGTGGATCCTTGTCCCTTGCTTATATATGTATAACGTGAGTGGGTCTGCTGTTGCAGTAGTATATCACTTTCTTCGCCCAAAAGTACACGGGAGCGGCGCTCAAGGGTAGTGATGTCCGGATGCCGTTCCTATATCTGCCGCACGGCCAGCACACCCCTCGAAACATTGTCAGACGCTGCTGTGTTGTTGTCTCGTCTGCACCGTGTCACTTCTGGTTGTTCTCTACCGCTGAATGCGTGTCTCGCGGCAGGACTTTGGTGCCATGCGCTGCACGTTTGGGGTAGCACGGGCGTAGCACGAAGAAGGCACCAGGCCCTCATTACCCTCCCGTGCGAAGAAGAAGGCGTGCCACGGCAGCTGTGAAACCTCTCGCACATGGCAAGAGCTGTCCCCGTAGGTGAGTGTGCAGTTTGTCTTCAACGTAAAATAATTTATTCTTTACTTCATCGGTTCCGTAGTGTATTGACAGGCACAACTCGAAAGCCTAACCTTATAAGCCAAAAAAAATCGAACAAGATCCACAAAAAAGTTGGATCGTGTATTCGTCTCTGTGAAAACCACTAAACCGGGCAGTTGAATTTATTTTGTGATATGGCATATATTTTGAAATTAGCAGTAAAAGGTAAAAGGAAAAGCAAGATGCTTCCGAACAAGAGCGTTCCGGCTGAATTCACTCGGCGAGTTTTTTGTGGTGTGGCATAAGACCTTTGAAGTACTTGACGGTTTTCACCTGGAATATGAGCTCACTAAGTAAGAATAATAACTATACAGATGGTAAACACACATTTAACGGTAAACGGCAGATACCCATAACCAATGCGCCTTCCTTATGGGTGCGCTTCTGACCAGTCCGGTCCTACAGGGGCTACACGAGCAACGTGGAACAGGCCTCAAGTTAATTTGTAGGCCTCAGTGGCTCAGGTTACCGTAATCTATAGAATTGTATTTTTTGGCATAACAAATGGGGGTCCAAAGAAAACGGATATGGATTGCCGAAGAATTTGGACTTTTGAGAGAATCAGTGATAAGGAGAGACGTCACCTACATTGATGGGGCAGGAGTGTACTCTCTAGAGCACTAACAAAGGTGGTTCAGTGCGCTTCCCGCTGGTGCTCTCCGCCCTCGGCCCTCGTACAGTGTGGACTGTGCCTTTGACGTGAAACTGGACTGAAGGACAGGCAAAGTTCACACTGCCCACGAATTTTCATCCGCCTCACAGTAGAACTCATTTTTTTTCACATAACGTTCATAACTTACTTTTAGTTCCAATGTGGCGTCATCATCGGCGATGAACATCGCTTTTGGGTGCATCTGGAAGGCACTCACGGTCCACATATGGCTTATACCACACTCTATAGCATGGTGAAGTGCTAACGCTTTATGAGAGCCAGTGACCAGAATCATCACCTGAATAGAAACCTTGAAGAGAGCCGCATTAACTCGTAGTCAACGTAGCAAAGGTGAAACCACGTTAGTGGTCGCACGCAGAGTGACCTCTGCAAAATATCAAACTGAGCACCTCTACTCTTCCAACGGTATGTGTGTACATGTCTCTCTGCGGAAACACGCAGCAGTGGGAAAGACAGGGGGGGGGGGGAATGGAGATGGAAATGTGCAGACACACAAGCTTCAATGAGATGGGGGTAGAAATCGTACAGAAAAGCGGTATCCTCACCATTAGAAGGTTCCAAGTGCACAAAAGTGTGCGCACCTGAGAAAATGCAACTCTTTCTCAACCAGTAAAGTGAACGGATAAAAAAGGCCGAGTAGGCCATGCCTTTTTCTTATGGTGGTCAGGTTCTGCAGAAGGCTTCGCCCGCCACTAAACGGAATTTTGGAGAGGCGTTGAAAATGTGATTCACATAGTACTGCAACCTTCCAGCTTTACTACTTCGCACTTCCTGGTACTACTTTTCCGCAGCGCGTCCATAGAAAAAGATCGACTTCGCAGATAAGCGTTCATTTACCATTTAGACTTATCGTTCCGATCGTGTCTGACACCAGATGGCCACAAGAATGGAGGCCTCATTTCGGTCAGAGTGTCTTTCGGCAGATCTGTACCACTTAGGCTGCTCTTTCAAACTGTATAGTAGTGTGATTCAACAGATACGCCAAGGTTCAGCCTTCATGGCGGTCTAGTGCAGCTGCACAATGGCACATCGTGGTCTCCGTGGGTCAGGATTTCGGCCGGTTCCCGTGCCGGTCGAGTCTTCCACCACTCCGTTCGTGCCTTTTCTCTATTGACTTTCGAGGAGCTATAAGTTAACTTTATTAAATTCTGGTCGGACATTTTCACCACCACATTAAAGAGCATATCAATACTATCCACATGTGAGGAGGATATTCTTCACGAGTTGCCCAATGTGTAACCGCCAGCGCTCACCTTCAGTCCGGGGTCCACGAAGAAAATATTGGTCTTTCCATTCCAGGTACGTCCGGTCCATACCATCAACCCGCGCCTTGGCGACTGTGGTGAAGATGATGTCCTAGACCGTGGCGACGTTGTCGGAGCTGCTCGATGTTGGAGGTCATCCAGATCGAGAGTACTGGTCTCCAGACTATCCTACTACTTGACATGGTAGCTATCCATGCGGGTGACTCATACCAGAAGTTTCGCAGCTGTTTGGAGGTGACATGTAATTCCAAAAGTTCTTTTTTTTTCCAAGGTTCAGGCTCGCGCTGGAGATGACTTCATATTTTGGTGTACATGAAGGTGATGGGCGAGAGCCAGCTCCTGCTTATAGAGGAACATCTTGGGTATCTTTCCCCTGGTACTCGTATCCACGTCCTCTGTCTGGGCTGCGAAAACTTTGCTGATATGTGACTCGGTCGAAGTGACTTTTTTTGCCCCCCCCCTGTAGTGGTTGCTGCTGCGCTTTTGGTGAGACCTTGTCCTTCGGGACAAATCTAATCATGTCTTTGTCCAGCATGAGACAGGATGACAGTTGTCTCAAATTGAAATATCCCATGAAAAGCGCTTCCTATACGCAATGTTCAGATGAAGTACGCGACGCACTCTCCCATCTCTTGGATATATAGTATGTGTACGCAACATGCATGTATATCTGCAGCACTGACCTCTCTAGCATCCATCACTGTTTGAACACCAACCGTTAATGCTTGTGTTGGTACCATAGACATATTGCCACCAAAAAATCGCGGAGTTAGCCTGTAATGACAACGAGATTTAAACGAAATTCTAAGCCTTTGGAGAAAAGAGGAAACGATAAAGCACTTTAAAGGCACTTTCCGCGATAAAATAAGGCTATGACCTTTCAAATGTGTCAGACGATCCGGAAGGAGATTGCGGAGGCTGCGCTACCTTTAGAAAGTGAAAATCGGCAAGAATTCCGCTTTAAGCTAACCAATTAGGCCCATGGCGCCCTTAGGCCCATGCAACCCCCGCCGTACTAGTTACTAGCTAGTAGCCACTGTGCTATCTATCTCCATTTCGAATGGTGAGAGTGAGGTGATAAGATAAAAGAGTTGATATCTTTATGATAACGACGGAGTGGAAATTCGTACAAAACACGCGTTTTCTTCATTGCATGCATGTACAAGTTGGGGTCGATATGGAATCCTATTTAGGGCATTTTTGGCTGTTTTTCTGCTGCTTTTCTCCGCTAATCAGATACCTAGCCCTTTTTCGTTCCTATGTGGGTTCCGTTACCCACAATCTGTGGTCGCGGGCTTTGCCTTTAAGATAAACTCTACGTCCCCTACTTGCATCCTGGCCCTTGCCATGAGCGAGCGAATGGGTTCACAAGAGCATAACATGCCACTTCATCCGCTCAGAAGGGCACCGGAGCTGGGCTAGAGCAGTGATACCCAGGTATCACTACACCACTTCCAGACTCCGTCCGCGCTTCCGCGCGACTACCTGCTTACCTAACCATAGCCAAACGTGCTACTTGTCTGCACACTCTTTTTTCTAGTTGTTCTCTACCTCTGCCGCGTGTTCGCTACGAGACTTGGTATCGACGCAGGTGCTGTACTTTTAGGACACCAACATCTCTTCACCTTTCAGGATCACTTTCATCTCTCGAATGAAATTCTCACTCTAGCACAATTGCCAACCCATTCTTCTGGCACGTGGCAAGATGCCCGAAGTTGAGTGCATCGTTTGTCTTTATCAACATTTATTAAGTTTTCCAAGCTTTATTTCCCTGCTCGGAAAGTTGACTCAGTCAGTTCATGGTCCACTCAGCTCAAAAGAACTTATCACATTTAACAAATAAACATGAAAGCCGTTGGAGAAAATCTCTTGAAGTTCAGCTGCATTCTGCTCTTGCGGCTCTGTGGAAGACCTCGCCCTATATCAGAAGGAAATATCCTCATTCCCTGGTACCTGTATCGTGTCGGCGTTGAGAGTCTTCAGTCGAGTACGTGATGAGAGTGAGCTTCCAGGCTCATTGAATGCTATGTGTCCATCAGGTCCAATTCCTGAATAAAGATGGAATATGGTATAATGAAATATTGGGTTGGCACATAAGTAATGGCGTTTTTTTTCAATTGAAAATTTTGTTCTAAATGTGAATTCGCAAGCAGGCTTTAGCTGCTCCATACATTTGGAAAAGGTTGAGCTAGAAGTCTCAGCAAGGGAATCTCAATAGGACGCTTTGGAACTAATTTCAAGAATTTCAAAGTTGGCAACCTTCACCTCGCCGATATTGGGCAGGCTCACGTCTGTTCCACCTGAAATTTTATGCTAATAGTTGAATGTTTCGCTGATATGTTCTGTTTGCAATGGAAATCTGTTCCACAGAACTGTTTACTTTCTGTTAGTTCAGG